CATATGAATGGCCTGTCCTTTCACAGTCTAACCTAACAAACTGCAGCTAGGTCAGAGAGATCCAAAGCTTCCAAAAGAAGGACCAAGACTCGGCAGCAGCATCTGGGCTTGCTTCACAGCCGGGCCTCATCTGGGCACTTCTAAATCCCAAACAAAGAGGAGGAATCTACAGATCTCTGTAGTTCCTGCTGGGTGGACTCAGGCAGTGGCTAACTTTGCACCTCTTTGGAGATCCAAGAGCCAGTATACCCAGTGGTCAGTGTGAGACCATACCAGATTACAACTCTTCACATCCATAAGCGACACACTCAAGAAGCAGAGGCAGTGAACACTAAAAACCCACTGAAACAAGTCGTACCCCATAAGGGGTCTGCAGCACAGTAGTTCTTCTATTGTAGACACAGCTGGTCCTCACAGCCAATAGGCCTGAAGATCAATTCCTCCCAGTGATACCAACAACAATTAAGGCTTAACTTCCAAAAGACTGCACACAGCCCACAGAGGAGTGCACCAAGAGAGTCCACTTCAGGTAACGGGGGAGGCTGAGTCACTGGGCCCTATAGGACACCTCACACACAAAGCCACTCTATCAACAAAATGCGGAGACAAAGAATCATGTCACAAATGAAAGAAATGGAGGAAAACAAACTACTGGATATATTATAGAATTCAAAGGTTACTCAAGAATCTTCTAGAAACCTCTAAGGAACTTAATAAGACCTTCAGGATCTTAGTGAAAATGACAAAAATATGGAAAAGGGCCAGTCAGAAATTAAGCATACACTGACTGAAATAAAGAATAACATACAGAAATTCAACAGCAGACTAGAAGATCCCAAGAATTAAGTCAAAGATTTTAAATACAAGGAAGCAAAAAACACCCATCTGGAAGAGCAAAAAGAAATGAATCCAAAAATATGTATAACTTCAAGCATACCAACATCTGAATTATGGGGGTGCCAGAAGAAGAGAGAGAGCAAGATATTAAAAACATAATGAAGAAATAATGATAGAAAACTTTTCCTACCTGGTGAAAGATAGAATTACAAGTCAAGGAAGTGCAGAGAACTCCAAACAAGAGAAATCCAAAGAGGACTTAACAAGACACATCATAATTAAAATGCCAAGGGCAAAAGACAAAGAGAGAATCTTAAATGCAGCAAGAAAAAAACAGTTAGCTACCTACAAGGGTGTACCCATATAGTTTATTTCTCAACAGAAATGATGCAGGCCAGAGAGGAGTGGCAAGAAATACTCAGTGATGAATAGCAAGAACCTACAACCAACATTACTCTATCCAGCAAAGCTATCATTTAGAATTGAAGGCCAGATAAAGAGCTTCACAGACAAGAAAAAGTTAAAGGAGTTCATCACCACCAAACCAGTATTATATAAAATGCTGAAGGGTTTCCTTTAAGAAGAGAAAGGTAGAGATAAAAAAATTATGAACAACAAAGTGACAACAAACACATATCTATCAACAAGTGAATCTAAAAATCAAGTGAATAAAAAATCTGATGAACAGAATAACCTGGTGAATATAATAGAATCAGGGGCATAGAAAGGGAGTGGATCGACGACAATTCTTGGAGGAAAGGAGGTGTGGGAAGTGCAGGAAGAGACTAGACAAAAATCTTACACCTATGGATGAAGACAGTAAGGGGGGTTAAGGATATGGTGTGGGGTGGGAACTGGGTGGAGGGGAGCTTCTGGGGGGGGGGCGGGGGATGGGGAAAAGAGGAACATTTGTAATAATTTGAACAATAAAAATTTATTTTAAAAATAATAATAAATAAATAATAAATTTAAAAAATAAATAATAAATAAATCCCTGAGCCAGCTGGCATGGCTCAGGGATTGATGGTTGACCTGTGAACCAGAAGGTCACAATTCAATTTCCTGTCAGGGCACATGACGGGGTTGTGGGCTCGATCCCCAGTGTGGGGTGTGCAGAAGGCAGCTGATCTATGATTCTCTTTCATCACTGATGTTTCTATCTCTCTCCCTTTCCTTTCCTCTCTGAAATCAATAAAAATATATTTATAAATAAATAAATAATAACATAAGAAAAACATAACTTCAAAAGATCTAGCTTGAGTTTGAAACTAGAGACACAACATTGAAATACCTTGGAATGTAGTCATTCAAAAGCCATATGAGTGACACCAAGTGAACTCCAAGACAGGTCTGCTGCTTTTGGCTTAGTGATCTCTCTTCTGAACTATTTGTAATGACTTTGGCCTTTGCCTGGTACATTGTATATTCTTTCATGTTATTAAATGTTAAAACATTGGGGACAGTAAACCTTCAAAAAGTTTCCACTTATTAGAGTTGTTATTTAACAAAATATTTTTTATCATTAAAACTTTTATCAGACTTCCCGAAATTATTAAGGATAGGTTATTTCCTCTTGTGCAGCGTTGTATTCCTTGTGCTAATCACAGGGGCGAGGGAGGCAACAACATTAGTTGAGGTGAAATTAAATTATAAAATTCTAAGAATGTGTTAATTTGTTATGTACAAATTAAAACTAGCATTCTATGAAGGCACAATATGATATGAAAGCATTGTCTTGAGTGTGTGTATAAACGCACACTTACTACACTTCTGAACATGTAGTTTAAGCCTTTATGAAAGAACTACAAGTGGTAAGCACTTTGGAAAATGCCTGGTGAATATTTTATGTTTCAGCAGGTCTCTTTCCCTAGAGGGCAAACCTAAAGTACTCCTTTTACAACATTCTAAAAGAAATCTACCAAGGAGAGTAAAAAAGAACACACGTTTTTGCAAACAGGTTTCATTCTTCCTGAAAAGATTTTAAAATCATATATTCCTGCCCTGGGATTTAGTGGTCCTACACTGAGCTCAGAAAGGAAAATGCATTCAGTTTATCTGTCAGAACCGCTTGGAATAAAGGCAGTCACCTTCTAAAAAGGAATATTACATAGAGTGACAAACGCTAGGTATAGTTTACAAAAAAAGTCAATACTATCAACATCTTATTGTTACTTTTCACCACTTCCTCAAAGCATATAGTTTAATTTTTTTTATGTGAGATGGAAATACAGTTTTTTTTTCCTAAAATACTTATAACAACTTCATATCCTATATATGAAGAGAAGCTAAGTAAGTTAATAGGGTTCTTGCAATGTCTATAGATTTTTTTTTTTTTGTAATTGGTGAGAACATGCTGCCCTGTAGATTTATTTGCCAAGACAAAAGCAAAATATATTTCAAAGATTGGATTAATACTCTTGGAAGACAAACATAAAATTTAAACTGACATGAATGTATAAGATTTGAGAAAATTTTTATAAAGTGAGATTAAAAAGGAATTAAAGTATATCTAGATTTTTGTTCATACTTCAAAGCAATATAGCTATCTTTTTTATAAGGAAAAACCAGAGGCAGTGCATGGTATAAAATTTTCTATAATCCTGATTGAAATTAGCAATTTAAATTTGTTGAATGAGGTTATAATGAAATATCTAAGGCACAAATCACAGAGGTTTGAGTACTTGCATAGTTGTTTAAAAATATATTAAAAGGTTATACGTTAACAATAATAAATGTATATTATATTATTATTAAAATATGCAATCTTTGATAATAATTTATTTGTTTTACAAATGAATTAAGGATTAAAATTTTTCTGTTCATTTGTGACTAACCATGAAATTCAATATTGCTTATCATAACCAATCCATGAAATTTGTCAACTTTGTTCCTGATTTTCACAGGGCCTTCCCCTTAGATGCAATGAACCATTTAACTAAGAACACAACAATTTTTTCATCTATGGTAAATCAGTTTAGTTTACTAGGATTTACTATGGATTTCAGACATTGAGTTTTTTATGATTATGAAGCATTATATATTTAATTCCAAATGTCTAACAGTTTACCTCACTGTGTCTCCCCCTTTCGGAAAGAATTCTCCATTTCTAAAATTAATTTTCAATGTCAAAAGGAACAATCTATAAGCAGTGGGTTAGTTGAAAGTCAAACAGCAGGTGAAAATGATGGGAAATTGAAATCAAAGTTGTTATTTACTCAGAAATTCTAACAAAAAAAATCCTCAAAATTTCATGAAAATCAAGATTCATATATTGCCCTTATCTGAGTGTTAAGAAAATAATACTTTACCTAGTTTATCCTAAGAAATAGAAATACTGTATGTCTAATTTTTACTATCCAAAAATAAGAATATGAAATTACCCAGTCTTTCAAGATAAAGTGACTACGGTAGAGGAGAGTTTAAACAAATTATATTACTCTATTAGAAAATCTCCTCCAACCTTTTCTCTATTATTAATTTGAATAAAATAAACCAGAAAAGTAGTTCAGAAATTTTAATTTCCCTAAATGTTAGTTATTTACCTAAGTAAACTAAATCAACATTTAAAAAATGTAATTGCTTAGTCCTATTTTCACTTGCCATTACTAGCTCAGTCACTAGAACCTAATACTAAAATGAAAATCTATGGTAGATTAACTGACAGTGTGGAACTATGAAGTCTCTTCCAAATTTAGGCATATTTTAGAACCATTTTTAATGTTAATTTTTTATTAGAGCAAACCAATCTATATAAAATTAAAAGCTAAAAATATTTTTTAAAAGCCATTAGATATAATTTTATTTTTACATAGAGTTTCAAGCTATGACTGAAATAATCAATCCATTAATATGATTTGATCATTTAAATAACTCAAAGAGTGAAGCTTAAAATGGTCCTGACTGTTTTGGAGCTTTATCAACTGAATGAAATTTACCAATAGAGACATAACACAGTATTCAGACTAACTTGCTTTGAGAATGAGGAAACACCTGTTGGTTAGTGTTAGTTTTGTACAACAGCCCAATTCACAATATAAAAAACATATTTCAAAAAATGTCTACTTACTATTTATACAATTCAATAAGTAGAATGAAAATAACTGCTAAATCCCATTATTTTCTATATTGCAAATTGCTAAAAAGAAAATATATTTGATACTTACTGATATAAGTCAGTTAATGGTGAAGTCAAAATGACTAATGTTGTCAACAGGTTATTACAATGGGTATAAATTTTAAAAATTTTATCATCTATATATTCATGAGGATTCAAAAGTTTCTGTACAGATGTGCAAACTGACCATAACATGTTCTCAGTGCATATTAAAATTGTTGTGACATCAAGTCTATTAGAAAGAAAAAGAAGAAAATTAAGTTAAACAAAAGCATCTTTCTACTTGATATATACACTATCTTTTATATTTCTTGTATTAAACATATATAAGAATATAAATATTTGGTTAGATAGCAGTGCTTCAGAGATCAAAGACAAAAGGCATCAAAACTAGATTCTGAGTTTCCATAATACTCTTATCTTTAGGGATTGTGAGGTCTAAAGAGTTTTAGGGGTGCTTTTTTAAAAAAAACATGTTTTTATTTTGCATTATCAGGATACTATTCAAGAAGTTCAGGAGACTTTCCTTGAAATCACATTCAGTAAAAAGAAAAGCCAGATTAAAAGAAAATTTGCATATATATATATATATATATATATATATATGGAAAAAATTTGATAGCAGAACAGTTCTCCTCATCCAAGTAAAAGTTGTCAAAAGAAAATTACATGGGTGGATCACATGTTTTCCAAGCAAGTGGGAGATGGAAAGAAATGCCACCAGATGCACTAATGTAGTATCAGAAATTTCCAATAATGCATAATTTTTTGGCAAATATTATTTATCTTATTCATAAATTAATTTCTTTGTTTTTATCTTTGTTGAGTTTTAATAGGAACACAAAGATTATTTTAGTGTACAATTAAATTTTATAAACTTCATTTAATTTCTTCATTTTTCTATTATATTCAGTGTTGAAGAAATATACATCCTTTATAATAAAAGGCTAATATGCAAATTGTCCCCTCAGGAGTTCCACCTAACAGGAGTTTGACCACTGGCTATGACATGAGGTGACCCCCAGGGGCTGGCTCAGAATGAAGGAAGGCCTTGGCTGCCATCTGGCAGCCAGAGGAAAGAAGGCCCTGATTTGCCCTGATCGCCGGCCAGGCCTAGGGACCCTTGCCAGACACAAATTTCATGCACCAGGCCTCTAGTATATTAATGATATGTCACATATTATATATAAATCTTATTTATGGTTGTGGTATTTGACAGTTGGAGGCTATTGGGATACTAAACACATCAATAATCACCTTTAGGAAGGTTTAATTGTATTTGCATCTATTTACTTGCTGATTACTAAATTTCAAATCTAAACTATACACACATTTGATTTCCAAATGAATGGTAGTTTAGGATCAAACATACAAATAAATATATTTATTTTATGTAGAAAAGTAAAAAAAAAAAAAAAAATCTAGTTCTGAATGGCATTATTATGTAACTGCCCAGAAAATAAAAACCAAAAGTCTATACAGTACAATTATTTAATTAAATATACTACCTATTTCATGAGTTAATAGTGAACATCTAATAATGACTTGTCACCTCATAGTCAAAAGTGAATATTCTACATAAGGAAAAAGAATGAAAGTATTCTTTGCTCTCAAAAGGAATTTTCCATCTATTCTTTGGAGTTCATTAGAAAAAAAAGTTTGGTCAGTAATTCAAAACAGCCTGTGCAAAATACCATATTTATGAAACACTGTAGCAGGACATAAATGCTCCTCAAATGCAGCCTGCTTTACAAGAACATGATCAGGAAATGATTCCTACTGCCAAATAAAAGAAAAAGCTTCTGAGGTCTGCAGGTTCCTCTTAAAATATATTGGTATATACCCATACCTATTCTTAAAAGGCAGGTCTTTATCACATTAGTCAGAATATTTATAAAACAAAGCCTTCTGTTCATATAGACTTGTCATGTAAGCACATTTTTGTAATATTCATCGCCTAGATAAGTTGTGGAATTGCACTATAATTCATTCTTTAATTTAATACCCAGTGACTGTGTCTCCTATATTCTGTGATTTCACTTACTGTTGAACTGGCTTTTAGTAATACATAATGAAAAGGAAGAAATAAAATAAAGGAAAAAAGGGAATAAGTAATTATAATACGTTAAGGGGGAAAAAATGACAAAGGAGTTTCCTTAATGAAGATTCACTACACTACTTAAAAGCTTTTAAAAATAAAAACCCTAAGAAACTAAAATCCCCTGGTGGCTTAGAATTTCAGTCAAATCCACTGCTCTATCATAACACTGCTTTTTTTCTCCACATTAGTACCTTAATATTCTCACCTTATTTTTTAATCTTTTATGAAGGTTATAAAATAAAGATATATATCAAGATATATCTTCAATCTTTTTTTTTTTTAGAAACAAGTGGTTTCTACACATGATTTTTAAAAAGAAAAAAGAGCAAAATGATTTGACTCAAGTTTCATATTTCAAATAATATCTCAAGATAACTGAATATTATTTCCTTTCGGATGTTAGAAACATGTCAAGTATACAAGGAGTCTTGTCCTGAGATTCAGAATTACCATCTACTTTATATTAAATGGGGAAAAGGTTTTCTTGGAAGGCAATGGTTTTCCCAGGGCCAGTTACCTTATCTGTGGAGTTCTCTTGTAACTGGGACTGGCCTGAGCATATCTGGAGGCCAGGAGACCCAAAGATTTCTCCAGAACTTCTGTGAGAATCTCCTGGGCTAGCTTGGGGGGTAGAATGGTCCAGAGATCATGATGAAGAGCCCAGAAGAAATAATGCCACATCTGGAGTGAGAAGGAGCATCTTTCCCCCTGGCAAAAACACCACACGTTAAACAATGGAATCACATCTTCCAAAATGTCAGTTTGCTTTCTATGAACCTAATTAGTTCAAGCTGAAAGGAAATAGCTGGAGAGCTTGACACACTAGATGACCAAGAAAGATTTTTGACAAGATGTAAAACATCCTTCCTGACAAAGGAACATGTGTTTTATTTCAATCACAAGACTAGATATCCTAATGAAAATCCAGCCTGCAAGCATTTCACCTAGCATATTCTTGACTTACCTACTCCTGGCCTGCAGTTTAAAATTGTCTCTTAAACAATAGGCTCTACAGTTGCTAAACATGTCATGCTAGTTTAAGATAGTGGGCTGATTCTTCTACAATTAAAATTTAATTATTTAAATTAAGGATTCGCATCTTTAAGATCATTTTACAAATGTTTCAGATTTCACGTTATAATGAAATGACAGGAGCAAAAATTAACTTACATACTGTATACTTATCAACATGCATGAAACCAAGGGGGTGGGTAACTACTGAAGATGATTACATTAGACACCCTTATTCATAGTGTTTTAATAACAATACTAAAAACAAATACTATAACAGTCTGATTTTACTTTTTTTTGTTATAAAGCCTAGGCGGATCTCATTATTTCTTAGTATTTTTACAGCACTTTATACTTCCAAGGAGCCAGAGTCTCATTCCCTTCTATATCCCCTTATAGATCTCTTGTGTGACAAATTTTCCCTGACCACAGAGGGAGACCCAACAGTGGCCATGGCTAAGGGGAACAGGCAGAAATGAGAAGGTAGCCTCAAGTGATTTACAAGCATTAATTAGTTAACTTGCTCTTCGGAAGGTTTGCTAGTACTTTGACCTCATTTTCTTCAAAACAGATCAAAAGATTATTTAAAATAGAAAAAGAGTAGAATGCATTCTTCAAACATTATATTGATTATGTTACTATACCAAAAGTGAAGCTAGTAAAACTTCCCATTTTATCTCTAAGCAATCCTCATTGAGTTAAAATTTGTCTTCCCATTGCTTATATTTCTCAAACAAATGTCATCTAAAAAATATATATATATATATATGTTCTCGTATACCAAAAGGGGATAGCTTCTTATATATATGCTACTATTAGTGTTTTCCATACATATTATTCTTCTGGTAGTTTCTTTGATTACAGTATTTTCCAGCATATAAGACGACTTCTGAAACGAAAAAAAGTCAACCGAAAATCGGGGGCAAAAGACCAAAATTGCACAAAAATCACCTGCAGATCTTGACGGCAAAGTAAGTCTTTTCTTTGAAATGGGGGGTAGTCTTATACAGCGAATATGGGCCTAAACCTATGTTTTAACTGTAAAATTAGGGGGTCGTCTTATACGCCGGAAAATACTAAAGTACTAAAATCTTTTCTAATCACTACATAATAATAATGTATAGTTATTATCTACTGACTTTCAAATGGAGTTTACAAATGAGTAAAATTGTTATCCTTAGGTGGGAAATGGGCATCAAAAGTCAAAGAATCAAGTTCAAACTGGGGCAGGGGATTTTAACCACTGGTTCCTGACTTTCTGACTAGATGTATATCAAAACTATTAAGAAAAAAATTACAAAATTAATGCAGAAGTAACACAATTATAGTTCTTTATGCTTTCTTTGTTTTGTTCTGCAATAAAAAATGCGTTTTAAAATTTCTAAAGTAAGAACAAAGTTTTAAAGCTAGACTTTCTTATCCTTATGGTATAGTATGTTAATTAAAGCAAAACTGATCCCAGCTGATATCTGAATAACTTACACTAATATTTTTCGTGGCAATAGATATAGATGTTTATAATAATATGGCCAACGTGATTTTTCTATTTTTTAAATATAAAAAAATTCCTTAATAGCTACATTTAAGCAATAAATGAGAAAATTAAAATAACTTCAAGTACACAGATTTCTTCTCTTAAAAGTAAAAAAACCAAGCACTTATTTTTAAGACTTTTTAAAACACAAATGTCAACTTCACATTCCAAACTGGTCATCATTCACACAATTCTCTTCAAAATGTGTATAACTTCAACGTATGCAAGGGTTTTCATTAAGCTAACTGTGATTCATTTATTTTTCTGACCTGTTTCTCTATTTGTCGTCGTTTCAAAAGTATTCTGCTAGTAAACATCTGTTATTTTTGCAGGCCCACTACAATGTAAACAGATGTGAGCTTTTATTTAGATTATATATCAGGAAACAAGCAGCTGGGCTTTATTATATAAGCCACTCAATATTATCTTTGAGCAGACAATTCTTTATTCTTTGACTGTTGGAAAACACAAGTTGCTAAAATTGAGCAGATGTCAACTATACTAAATGCTCAGTTTTAAACATGTAATCTAAATACCCACTGTGCCATCTGACCAGCACCTCATCAGAGAGATACGGAACTCTTTTGACTCTCTCAACCTGACAGCTTAGAAAATGGAAATAATGTGTCGAGGGCTCACTTGATTTCACAAAACATGAGCAAATATCGTTCCGTATCTTGTAAATGACTTCACTCTTTCTTTACTACACGCTTGCACATGGCAGCAGGTTTCCCTGCGATCTCTATCCTCCTCTTTGCCTGGAGTCTGGCAGATTTCATCTTCTTTCCTCCCAAAGCAGCCTTGCCAAAAACTAGTCCTGTTTCACAAATCAGATGGAATAATAGGAAGAGGAGGAAAGAGGGTGGGGTAAGCGGGATAAAACCATGTCAGGTACTCCATTATGAAAACAGTTTAAAATCTGGGCTATTTTTAGAGGGTTCTTATTTTTTGGTAAATAGAAAAGCAGTGGCACTTTATTTTTCTGAGCAGAAATAACCACCACTCTGCAATTAAATTGTAACTACTGACCATGTAAGTATATGGAAGCTACAGTACCATGTAATCACAGGGTAACTATCTTGTTATTTCTGTCTTTGAAGTTAAAGCATTGTCATAAGATCTAAGAGCTGCATGTTACATGGTAATTTGTTGTGTGTTTTTTTAATGGTTGGTAACTTCAATTACAGGTTTGAAATGCATCCACTCATTATTTTTACCGTATACTTCTTCTAATTCCCAATTTGCGTAAGAGGAAACATAATACCTCTATGTTGAGCAAATAGTGAGATAATACCTGTTTTTCATTGAAATCATGATATAAAATTGTTCATTAGTACAATGACATATTGAAATATATAGTTCAAAACATGAGATGGATTCGTTTTTCAACTTCTGCAAATAAGGAAGCTTCAATGCTTTCAGGAGAGAAGACAGTATTTTCTCAGACAACCAGCTGCACCATAGCACCTTCCCGTTTTCATTCTGCTCGCCGCTGTGTGAAGTATGGCAGGTTTGGAAAAGTCTGTATGGATGTTCTTGCAAAAAAAGAAAAACTAACTGGGAAGGTACTCTAAAGGAGAGATGAAATGTCCTTAGAAAAAGTGGAAAGTCCCTTAAAAGAGCTTCTTAGTATTTGCTTTTCTCTGTTATGGCAACATTATGATAATAACTCAGCCATAAATGGAGCCACAGGAACCTTCAGTGTCATGAAGGCAATGAGAGTGACTCCATTGAATAACACTCCACTCTGTTCTTCTCAGTACTCCATAGTGATTAGAACAATCAAGCAAATCAAAAATCATAAGCTTCAATCCAGAGAAAAGAGTAAATGGGAAAAGCTAATGAAGCTGGGCTTGACTGATAAATTATTTTAAAACTCTGATTTATCTTATTTTTTATTAAGATATTATAAATGTTTCATCCTGCCCTGGAATCAACTTCAAAAAATTTCAAATATTGTGGCTTATGTATAATCAATGGAATTTAGGGGAATTGAAACAAATGAAGCCTGATGCTGAATAATTTTAATTGAACCTAGATTTGGTTATACTGGGAATTATTAGGAAGAATTCAGTAGAAACTTGGGATTTTAAAACATGGGCTAATTGAAAATAGGTAAGCTATAAATGATCAGATGGGTCTTAAAACATACTCATAAGAACATTCTTTGAAAAGGAAAAAATAAGTATAAAGAATAAAACTGCTTAATAAAATATATTCATCAAACACAGATGGAAATACATAACAAGGAAAAAAAATCAAGGATATCTATAACTGTTCCCTTTGGGGAAAAGTACAAGGTTGTGGCATTTTGGCATTGTTATCTCTTCCAGTTTTCATTGCATCCCATTATATTTCAACTTACTATATCACACTCAGACACTGTAACTCAAATGAAGCAACTATTTTTATTTCTAAGCAGAAGGAGAGTTCTGATGTCTAATTATTTCAGGGTTTTTTTAAAAAAAAAACACAGTGTTTTTCCTAAGTACAAATTCAATATTTAAAAAATATTATCCTAACAGCCTTCATGTGTTAGTAATGCTGAGCTCATGTTTCTAATTAGCCAGAAAACAGGTAGGCAGTAAAACATATTTGTGTAAAAAGGAGGGATAGTAAACTTAACTTCACACCTCATAAAAAGCTTTGTAGTCATCCCAGTGGTGGCTCTCAGCATCCTGTAAAATGCTTGTAGCACAAACTCTGACGCAGTAGTCCGTAACCTGAAACTGGAGAGTGTTGATGAATTCCTGATATCGCTGGACAGGCACCAGGAATAGGGGTCTGTTCAGAGGCAATGATCAAAGAGACAGAGATTTAAGGCCTGTGTAGTAGGAGGTAACAATCTCCAGTACTACAAATGGTTTTGATTATTAGATATCAATCATTCATTTCCTCCTAATGCTGAAGTCTACATCCACATTCACTTTCCAAAGAGGAGGGAGGGGGAGGAGGGGAAGCAAAAAAAAAAAAAAAAAAAAAAAAAAGCTGGTCTTTGTTTTGCAAGTCTTTTGAAAATGTACATCTGCTGTTCCACAAATATGCACTTCAACTTGAGACAAACTGCATTGTCAATACATCATTCAAAAATAAAAGTATTCTTTGTAAGCCTATTATTAGAGATCAGTACATCATTTAGGCATTAGGTTATCATTATTATAAAGAACAGAGGCATTTGTCAGAACCAACTTTTATAAAGCTATCACACGTCCCACAAACATACTCTTTTTATTCTAAAAATTGTAATTTTGTAGATGTCAATTATCTCATAAACTGTTTTAAAATATTCTACAGGAAAAAAAGTGATTTGTGGCACATTTTGTTTATGAATTCGAGTATGAATCACAACATCTGACTATGAGAATTAAAGAAATATCATAGTTATATTCTACATCAAGCCAAATTTATGTTACTTTTATCTTTAGCTATTTGTATATAGTAAGCTTTCTCTTATGAGTAAGTAACGTAGAATAGAGTCCTGGGAACTGCCAAGTCCACATGCTTGTTCCCTCTGCAACAGGCCATGCTATCTTCTAGAGAGTAAGTATAAGGATAGCTAGGAAGGTCATGTGATAATACCTGTGGATATATGGAGATATATATATATATTCTTTTTAGGCTACTAATACATGAGAACTATTAAGATTCCAGATGCTTTCTTCTCAAATATTAAAGGTAGTTTATCACTAAATTGATGTTCTGAAATATGTTTACATTAGTCAATAGAATAGATCGAAATGCATTTATTTTCTATGTCAGCTCCGAACATCCTGTTGACTTTGAAACAAAAGAGAGGTGTGAGAGGTGTGCATATTTTGCAACTGTGTATAAATGGGACATGAAGTTTATTTTTTCCTTTTCAGTGTAGGCAGTACATTGTGCCTCGCAAGGTAAAAACGTGTTTGGTCATGTCAGAAAAGCATGCAGGAAATCATTGCTGCTGAGTAGAATGTGGAAAATGCATGGACCTTTTGAATGAACTTTTAGAAAAATACCTATCTTACAATCTATGCATCTGGTTTAATATGTCCTATGCTCCACATTTTTGACATTTCCTAGTCAAGACAAATGAAAATAATTCACCATGTTAATTATTATTTTCTCCTCAAAGATCATCATCAAAATTTCACTCCTGTGATATTCAAGGGTGTGACACATTACTGTAAACATGGCCATCCACTTAATATAAATGGCACTTACTTGTTAGTATTTTCTTTCATCAAATTATCATATCGAGTAAAATGCTGGAAGATATATACCGCCGTGGAGAGCAGAGTGTGCAAGGTTTTCAGGGGAGCTTGGGAAGGAAACTCCTGGCCTCTCTCTTGCAGTCTTGCCAGGACAGCTGTTGCCACTTTGCAACAGGCCTCCACAAAGTGTGCTCTAATTTCCTGGAAAGAATCATCTCTGCATGCCAGAGCCAGTGGAAGCATTGTGTCAAGTTTTTCCATGATGTCAGAACAAAACTAAGGAGAAATGAATGCAGCACTGAGTTATTGGCACTCTGACAGCACCGTGTAATTTATGTATAGGGGAGCCAAATTCCTAAATAATGAATTTGGCATCAAACATAAATATAATCACACAATATAGTAATTGATTGTAGAAAGTTAAATGTCAGATAAAGAAATACCAAAAAGATACTTCTCCATATATAACCTTCAAACCTTAAGCTTACCTTGCAGACATCATGAAAAATTCCTGAAGTAACTTTACATAACAACAGTTTTATTTGCAGTTAATAGGGCAAAAAAAAATGTATCCTTGATATTAATATGCCTGGATTTTTAAAAATTTATTTTAATTTTCTCTTGCTAAATTTTCATAAAATGCGCTTATTAATCGTCACATTAAAATAGAGTTATATCAGTTTAACTAAATCTAGAAGCACCAGAAATAACATGTAGCATCCTCTTATTAGTAAGGAGTCAGCAGCTTTTAGAAGTAATATGTGTAACTTTTCACTAATTATTATGAATCTACTTCTTTATGGCAGAGAAGGTGTGGTTGATAAGAAGTCAAAACTTGCCTCCACTCCAGATTAGCCAATAGTGTTCCCTGTGGAATGTTCTGGAGCCTCAGGGTGGCAGTAGCAGAATAGGATGCCATCTCTAAGACCTCTCTTTTAAAAAATATTTAAATGATAGGTTGCTGAACTCAGTGTGGGCTTCATACTGAGTAACTGTATTTATCTATTTGCATGATGACTTTGTGTTTTCTCATTAAGTTCTGTGACTCTCAAAGCACATGTACTAGTAAACATGTCAGACTGATTTTAATGAAATGCAATGCTCATTAGGGGTATACAAAGATTTGAAAGTTGCTAAACCAGTAAAAGACAGTAACTCCTTCAACCTTCTAAACATCTAGTGAAGTCATTCAAAATGGGGAGGAGAGTGAGAACATATTAACCAAAGATCTTATATGCACACATGCATTACCTATGGACACAGTCAGTAGGGTGGTGAAGGCCTGGGGCAGGGCAGAAACCAGGTGGAGGCGGACAAACGGGAGAAGGAAAAGGGGGAAAATCAGTAATACTCTCTACAGTAAAGATTTAAAATAATAATGATTAAAAAATAAATAAACCTAAGCAAGCATTTTCCCAGCTCCCCAGGAAGTCACAGAGGCCCCCTCTTTAGCTGCCCAGGACTCATGGAGCAACAAGGTAGCAACAGGTTAAAGTCGTTGTCACCAGCAGTGGCCCATGATACCAGAGAAAACAACTGGTATTGGGTCCAGTGCTAAGTACTTGCCACGAGGCTCCACCATTTTCCCCTTTGCAATGGCTTATATTAAAAAACAAACAAACAACAACAAAACTTAGAATGCCGATCTACAGTTTTGAAAGGATCTGATTTGATTCTTGCCTTTGCAATTTTCTTTGGTTGGTCCTCCTCAGGAACCACCCAGCTGTCTTGCCAAACTTGTTGGACATTTATAAGGTTCATAGCAAAGGTTGCAGTGGAAGACCTCTCATTGTGCTCCTGTTGGAGAATTTTTATGGAAAAATCTTCGATTGCTGTTGTTATGCAGTATGCCATGGGAACAGACACTTCTTTAAATGCACTTCTCCAGCCAAAATCGAGTAGAGTAGTCTGAAATATAGATGTATATGAAATCATATTCATCTTAATTCAACAACGAGTGTTTCTACTATTATATATATAAAGTTGTTATTTTCATTCAGCATGTTGGATATAGGTATGCTTTGATAAACTGTAAAATCCACTCTTACAACCTAAAAAATATTACCCGGTGAATAAAGCAATATAGAAAAACATGTGCATTCTTTATACACGGTAATATACTGACATTTCATTTTAATTCATCAGTGGATTTAATAAAAAACTTTTTTCAAAATTTAATCTCTTAAATATAGTTCAATAAAACCATATTTATGAGAGCTGAAAGTTACTCTTACTATTTATCACATAAAGCAAACTTTAAATTCAATATATTTAATAAAGTCTAAATTAGATTTTTATAGTCTTTTTTATAGTTTATTGTTAACAAGTATTGCAACATAAGACAGCATTTTATGTTCAATCTTTTATTTCTTTTTCACTCTCAGAAATCCAGACAAATGAAAAAAATAGCAATAAGAAATACAAATTTCTCCCAGAAAATACAGAAGATTTTTATTTCTTTAGAATTTTAGTTTCCCACTCACAGACTGGCACATGGAACTACTTTGTTTCAGAAAATGAAAAATTAAAATGATCTGCATTACTCTGTGTGTTAGGAGACAGTGAGATTGGAGTGGACACTGGTGCTTTTTGTTTTTATTTTTATTTTGGTCTTTGTCTCGTATGGCAATATATTAATGAATGTATATCTCCTCCAAGTCCTCGAATATTCTCTGTAGTACTATAATATTCTCTAAAAGCTTTATGGGTAGTAGGCTGAACCTATACTTAGAATTAAACACCCTGTTTAATGTAATCTTGTTAATAATAATAATTTACCTACTCCAACTTCAGAAGACCTGAAGGTTCAATATCACTGACTACATTACTTATTTTCCTAGGTCTCAACTTTTTTGTTAGAAATGTAAGAGCTGAATTCAATGACTTCTATGGTCTCTTTCAGTCTAAAATTACTAAGATTATTGTCATTAGCTTCATTTTCTTGCACACACATCTCATTCAGAATTAATTTAATGCTTTTTGTATATACTGTACAAAGTAATAAAGATGATTCTTCTTCTAGAGTAAAAATTCTATTATTCCATGATTCTATAATCAGAAAAAAAAATGGCTTTCATTCTCATAATGCTTATAATTAAGTTGTAATTGAACTTTCTAAAGTTTATTTGGACCTTTAACATCAGAGAGCCTTAGAACACATTTCTCATCTTATTTTACACAAAATTACTCAATATTTTAATCTACTCAGCTCATATAATCTCTTTTCTAACAAGTGAAACTTTATAAGTACCATGGGTATAGTCTTGTACTAAAATAGTATTTCCTGGGCACACATGTATGACAAAAATGCAAAAAACAAAACAAAACAAAAAATCTCCATGAAAATTAAAAACAACAACAAAACTACCCTGTTTTTTGTTTTCTCAACGAGGCCATATCACTTCATTAAATCCATTAATTCATTCATTCATTCACCCAAGAAAATATATTCTGGTGAAAATTGCTAGTAATTGCCCTGGTTGCAGTGGTAATTTGGTGTGTGTGTGTGTGTGTGTGTGTGTGTGTGTGTGTGTGTGTACAATAATGATTAGCTTAGTCCATGATAATTTGTATGTGATTATAATACCTTGGCCATTCTAAATTCTCTTTTCAAAATATAGAAAACCAAGCACATTAATAGCTGCTCTTAAAAACAAAAATGAAAATCTTTAATACTCAGATACCCTCCTGGAAGTCTATTTGTTATCATAAAATATTGTTTGCTTTCTTCTACTCTTCTCATCTGATGTTTGGTAAAAAATATTTCATTTAAAATCGAGAACATTTACTAGTTGATCCAAGAAGAAGAAATAATGTGGCTTTTTAAAAAATATATATATATATATTTATTGATTTTGTACAGAGAGGAAAGGAGAGAGATAGAGAGCTAGAAACATCGATGAGAGAGAGTCATCGATCAGCTGCCTCTTGCACACCCCCCACCAGGGATATGCCCGCAACCAAGGTACATGCCCTTGACCGGAATCGAACCCGGGACCTCTCAGTCCCCAAGCCTTTCGCTCTATCCATTGAGCCAAACCAGTTTTGGCTAATGTGGCTTTTTGTTCTGTGCACAAAGCCTGTTGAATCCCTTTCTTCCATTAACTAATGCTAATTTCTTAAAACTTACTCTGACTTTTGGTTAAAACATAACATACAACTTTGCAGTTTCCTGAATATTATTCTTGCTTTCTAAATTGAACCTATTAAAATTCTATGTCCTTTTACCTTTTTAAATGTTTGCCTACTATTAGTCAAAGTCCACTGAGAAAATAGAAATTATTCTAGGTATTTCAACAGGGAAAAAAAAAGTTAATGTAGTTTACAAAGGTGATGAAATTGTATGGAGCCAAATCACGGGTTGTGAAGCCAGACAGATAATAATTCAGCAGGAAGTCACTATTACTCCCAGGTCTGGAGAAACAAAGAAAAGGGACTATCTATGGGAATCCAATTTGTGGGGCCACCAGTCAAAGCTAAAGGTAAGACTGCTAGCTGGAACTGGAATCATGGAGGAGGATTGTGTGGTGGGAGCAGAGCCCATGAAGAAAATGAAGGCATCACAGATACTATTACTAGAGATATTCCCTAAAACAAGGGAAGGGAAAACGTACTCGGGTTTTTCTCTAATATCTACCATCCAGGTCTTCCATCACTGCCTTTCATTGGCTAAACTTTTCCAGTATCCGAGGAAATCTGGAAGATGTAATTCTCTATAATACAGAACAGAGCAGGAGAAGAGTGGTAATGGATCTGAGCACAAATAGGACACACTGGACACACTAAACTAAAAGGCCAGTTCAAACTATTACTTTCTCTTTCCTTTCCTTTTGAATCTCCATTTTCTCCCTTTTCAGCAATTATCTACAGTCCAAATTCTCAAAGTGTAGATCCTGAGTTGGGATGAGAACAAAGACCTCCTCATTTCCAGCTCCCTCCTCGCAAGCTGTCCATGGAGCAGACTGTGCAAGAGAGCAGTGTATCTATTCAATTCAGGTTTCGTCAAAATGTATAAACCAATTTTCAACCAAGAATTATTTCTTTTAGTGTTAAAACACAAGACATTTTTATTTTTAATGAATTCACAGATATATGATGATGCTTTTATTTGTATATATAAAAGCCTAAGTGCCAGACTGACTGGCCAGTAGCTGTGATGTACACTGACAACCAGGGGGCAGATATTCAACACAGGGGTTGCCAAGCGACAGCAACTTTGCAGAGTGCCCTCTTGCAATTTGGGACCCTTAGGGGAATGTTGTAAGGCCGATTTCAGTTTGATCCCTGCAGGCCAGGCCAAAGAACCCACTGGTGAATGAATTTGTGTACTGGGTCTCTAGTATATAAATAAACACCTCCCATTTCCCCCTCACTTACCTCTTTTCCTAGTAGCAATTGCTCTGAAGAAATATTGGTTTCATTTGCTCTAGGTTTCTCTATTACAGTCTCTCTATTGGATGTGCCCAAAATTCCTAGGCAATAGATAAAAAAGAAAACATACAAACATACATTTATACAAGCAAATGATATTAGATGTAATTAATAGTCAGGTTAAAATTAATTATGTAGAAAAACTCTATTCATACTATATACACACATACATGCATATCAAGATGCTGAAAATATAGTTCATAAGATATAGGGTGATGTCACCATACAATGATGATAGTATCAAAATATACTGAGTTCTTAAAGATATTCAATTTATAAAGTTTTTGTCTTACTTACATTTATATTTGATTTGCATACATATACCATAATGTTAAATACAGATCCTTTTGTTATTAATTCATTTTCATCTTGATAAGGTAGAGTAAGTTGAGAATACAAAGTAAATATTAATTTCTTTGCTCATGCAAAAAGTTAAATTCTAAAGTACTGCATTTTAAAACTGGTGGAATCCCTTAGCACTTTAATACTTCATTTCTTAAAACAAGGAAGAACAAAAGTACATAGGTAAACATCAACATATCAGGAAAAATTACACTCTTAATAGGTATATCAATAATTCATTGGAAATATGCAAACACTGAAATAGGTAAGAAATAATCTGTAGCTCTGTTTAGGTAATTCAATTGGTTAGAGCATCCTGAGTCAGGGCACATACAAGAATCAACCAATGAATGCACAAGTAAATAGAACAACAAATTAATCTCTCTCTCTCTCTCTCTCTCTCTCTCTCTCTCTCTTTCTCTCTCTCTCTCTCTCTCTCTCTCTCTCTCTCTTAAATCAATAAATAAATTTAAAAAAACACAATAATCTCTAACTCCTGAAATGGAAAAATTTTCTCAACTTTTATAATTAAGTTTCTCAGTTTTTATAATTAAGAAAATCTTTTACCTGGGGGAAAAAATGAATATATATGTCCCCCAAAAAGTATTCCACTTTTTCATTAAGGTTCTATTAATTAGTTTAATTTTATATAAATTATATAATTTCATATAAAATAGTCAATTTCTCCTTATGTCCTGAGCAAATAAATTTTGAAAACCTTATGATATTTCTCAGTAAGGCTTCTGACCAAAATATCCATCTGAAATTTTTTGTGGTTTTTGTTTTTCTAAATATGGTTCTATGAACTTAATCATGAGTGATTCCCAGATAACACAGTTGACTAAAACATTCCCTAGAAGGATTATTTGATAGTGATAACAACCTCTTTGGAAAACTTATCAGTATTTACCTATTCTGAGGAAACATTTTCCTTACTCTAGTGTTTTTTAATCATTTTGGATTTATGAACACCTTTGAATAAAAGTGAGAGAACACTCCATCCAAAATGCACAATATGACTCCATGGGAACTACACACAGACACACAGATACACACAATTAATGCTCCTTGTAAAGTGCAATCATGAACCTAAAGGGCCCATGGACTACAGTTTAGGAATCCTACTTCATTTCTCAACAAATATCTCAATAGAGATAAGAAGGTTTTAGATCAGTGTTATTCCAGTTAACCTAAAATGTTTTCTCTATGACTTGCATTTTAATGTATTTTTAAGAAGATAATACATATTAATAAGGATCAATTTTAACATTAAAATAAAATCCAGATTAATAAATATTTTTAATAAAGAAAAAGGAGATGCATCCATAAAAATTCTATGTAAGATGTCTGAGATTTTACTGTCTATGTTTTCTTCTAGGATTTTTATGGTTTCATTTAAGTATTTTATCCATTTTGATTTTATTCTTGTGTATGGTGTAAGTTAGTGGTCTAATTTATCTTTTTGCCAACACCATTTGTTGAAGAGACTGTCTTTATTGTATTGCCTCCTTTGTCAAATATTAATTAACTGTAATGGTGTGGGTCAATTTCTGGGGTCTTTGTTCTATTCCATTGGTCTATATGCCTGTTCTTGTGCCAGTAACAGGCTGTTTTGATTACAATGGCTTTGTACTATGGTTTGATATTCAATATTGTGATTCCTCCAACTTTGTTGTTCTTTCTCAAAATTGCTGCAGCTATTCAGAGTCATTTTTGTTTCCACAAAAATTTTTATAATATTTGTTTTAGTTCTGTGAAGTATGCCATTGGCATTTTAATAGGGATTACTTTGAGTCTATAGATTGCTTTGGGTAACATGGACATTTTAATGATGATAATTCCCCAATTCATGAACATGGTATATGGTTCCCTTGTTTGCATCTTCCTCTATTTCTTTTCATGTCCCTATACTTCTGTTTTTTCCACAATGCCATGAATGTCATATAGTGGAAATCATATAATATGTAAGCTTTTTAGACTGGCTTCTTTCACTTAGCAATGTGCATTTAAGATTCTTCCATGTTTTCTCATGTCTTGATATCCATTTCTTTTTATCACTGAATAATATCCATTGTATTGATGTACCATAGTTTATCAAATTTACCTAAGGAAAGTTATTTTGGTTGCCTCCAAGCTTTGGCAATTATTAATAAAGTGCTATAAACATTCGTGTGCAGATTTTTGTGTAGACATTAGTTTTCTACCCATTTTTGTATATAGCTAGGAACATAACTATTGGATCATGTAAGACAATGTTTAGCTTTGGAAAATACAACCAAATTGACTTCCAAGAGGCTGTACTATTTTACATCCCTATCAGCAATGAATGAGAGTTCCTGTTGTTTCACATCCTTGCCAGAACTGGTACTGTTAGTGTTTCTAACATTAGGCATTTTAATTGGTGTGTAGTGCACCCTCCTGTTTAAATCTGCATGCCCTGATGACATATGATGTGGAGCATCTTTTCATATGCTTCCTTGCCATCTATATATCTTCTTTGGTGAGGTGTGTGTTCAAATATTTGGCTCACTTTTCCCCCCTCACTTTTATGTGTTTTTTATTTTATTTTATTTTATTGATGTTTTTACAGAGGGATAGAGAGTTAGAAACATTGATGAGAGAGAAACATCGATCAGCTCCCTCCTGCACACCGCACACCCCCTATTGAAGATGTGCCAGCAAACAAGGTACATGCGCTTGACCGGAATCGAACCTGGGACCTTTTAGTCTGCAGGCCGATGCTCTATCCACTGAGCCATACTGGTTTCGGCTCCCCTCACTTTTAAATTGAGTTTTTTTGTTTCCTTGTTGAATTTTAAAAGTTTTTACTTTTTATATTTTGGATACAAGTCCTTGATCAGATATGTGTTTTGCAAATAGTTTTCTCAGTCTATGGTTAGTATTTTCATCTTCTTAATGATCTTTTCACTTGACAATTCCACTTTAGAAATTTATCATTCAGATATACATGTGCAATATTAAGATATTGTTCAAAAAATTATCATATCAATTGTTTGTGGTCACAAGTAAATAGGAAAGTAAAACCCTAAATGTCCATCAGTTAGTACATGGTTAAATGCACCAGTGGAAAACTATTCAGCTGTTAGAATGAGGTGTTTCTACATAACTGTTAGTGGAAAAGAATCTGCATAGTGTGTATAGATTTTGTTTTATTTTAACATACGGATATATATGGAAGTAGTTACATCTGGAGAGTGAATCTAGACAACTGGAATAGAAATAGACTACTTTTCAGCATACATTCATTTTTCTTCTTTACCATATGAAGAACTATTATTCAAAAAACATTTTTAAAGAAGAAAAAATAATAATGATCAAGTTAATGACATGAAGGAGCAAAACCTGAATTCTTAATGTCACTTTACTTTTCTACAGAGAGCTCACAAAACCAGCCAATTTAAAAGGTATTTACTCTGGAATAATAACACTAGTTTGAAGTATAAGCTTGCAAATCTATATCTGGAAATAACTATCTGCCATTGCGTAGCTATAATTTAAGATTATGAAAAAAGTTAATTATCTTATATTTGTTGTTACACTCTAAATACAATATGCTTATTCATTCATTCAACATGCTTTGATATTTACATAAGCCATCTGCCTATTTTCAAGATTAGTAAATAAAAAGATAAGCTTCCCAAGCCTTTTTGCTGATGGGCAATTCTATAATAAGACAGAAAATGAATTATCAAACAATTTTGATAATCTTTATAATGTAGTCTCCCTCCAAATTAAAAAAAGATTTAAAAAACTTAATCCTACATAGAGAAGCAAAAGGATAATTTTAAGAGAAGATTCATAACATTGACTCTACACTAGTAAAATATGTCATGGTTTTAACAAATTGTGGCATTTTATATTTTTTGGCAATTCAAAATGGTCAACTTTAAAATCCCACATTGTCAAACTTCATAAATTCTGTGAACATGTGACATATTATTTCACATATTTAAAAATATATTGAAAATCCTATACACTTATTCACATCGTCTAGAGAAGATAGCCCATTTTGGACTCAATGGTTTAAAACACAGGTTATTTGCATGCAATCAACACTGATTTCTTTAGAAGCATGCCCAGATAAAGGACCTCAGTAGAGTGCAGAGCGTCACAGGAATGCTAGTTGCTGAGCAGCCTCTCCCACAGAGTTCACTGTGGTTCAATTTACACTTCTGGGTTAGTTCCCACACTGTTGCACTCTTTCATGGAGAGTAGAGGTTGGCAGTACTTCCCTGTGACATCCACTTTCACACCCAAATTGGTCTTCATAGGCTCCCATTGTGTGTACTACAAAGCAACTTGCCTTGTTGGCAGCTCTAAGTGGGAACTACAAGTCTTTCTTTTCTTCACTGTTCTTTTCTAGCTCACAAGCAACCTCCCACCAAAAGCTGAATCTGTAGAAGAGACTACATCCAAGAGATAATACTATGAAAAAGTATGAAGAGAGGCCCAGGTGGCCACCTTGCAAATTTCCAATGTGGAAGCCTTCGACCTCTCTGCCCAAGAAACAGCTAAAGTCCTAGTGTAATGAGCTTTACAAACCCTAGGAGCCTCTTTACCTTAACTACGTACACCTCCCTATTACAATCCCCTAACCATCTAGCTAAGGAACTCTTAGAAGCCATTTGACCCCTCTTAAGACCCCCTAAGAGTACAAACAATCTTTCAGAAGATCTGAAATCTTTGATTCTTCTGAGACAAACCCTAAGTGTTCTTCTTACATCCAATTGAAGCAGCCATTGCTCTTTGTCATTGCTGGGGCTAAAGAAAAATGAGGGCCAAGAAATCCTGGTTTAGATAAATCTCAGATGCCACCTTTGGAAAATTTGAGGAACTGCCCGAAGAACAACTTTATTTTGAAAGAATCAAACCTGAAGCTACTTCATAAGATATAATCACCTAAAAGAAATACAGTAACCATCAAATAATGTCCTATCTTTTCCTGAAATGACCAAAAAAAAAAAAAAAGAAAACCATCAAATTATGACCCATAAAAGCAAATAAATATAACTAAATACCACTTATTTCTCAAAAACTAATTTGTGTCTCTATAAAATCTATTGAATCATATTCAAATTACTAAGAACTCTGCCAATTTGACTAACTTGATAACATAGTAGGAAACATCAAAGTAAAAAGTAAATTATTTGGCTAAGCATCTTTATATTTTCTTTATGTGATGTTAAGCACCTGGGTATTTTTAAAACATCTGGACAATAAAAACATACACATACAAAGTACACAAACTTACCTTTCATCACACTGTTTTGGTTACATAGACATAGTAGGTAACTCTTTCCAAGATCTTTATTAGCAAAATATGCTCCAATCAAAGAAAATACACAGGAAATCAAATGACTTGATCTTTTTCCCCCATTCTCTCCCACACAAGATATTTAAGCAAAAGATTAACTATCTGGATAACTTAAGATGCATTTGGTTTCTTTAATCATCCATTTCAAGGAATCTTTTCCTTTCATCCATTTCAAGGAATCTTTTCCTTTCTGATTTACGAAACAAAGGTTTTTGATAAAAATTGATTAGTTTGGCTTACACACAATAAAACATTTAAGATTTTTCTTGACAATTTCCCCCAAGATCATTCTTCTCAGGGATCTGTAAAGTTATGCCAGATTAAATCAATCTTGGCTTTGTTACAAAAATATATAAATTTTAACAATAAAGAAGATATATATCAAGAAGGGTGCTCTAGTACTTAGACATTTCTTATATCTGTCCTTCAAAATTCATTCCATATTATGTTCAATAATCCACAAATATATTTCTATAATACAGTAGAAGTTGCTCTTATTTGTTTTTATTTTATTTTATTTTTTGTAAATCTTCACCTGAGGATATTTTTCCTTTGATTATTTAGAGAGAGTGGAAGGGAGGGGGAGAAACACAGAGAGAGAAACATCCATGTGAGAGAGACACATCGATTTCTTGCCTCCCTCACACCCCTGAATAGAGCCAGGGATTGAGCCTGCAACCGAGGTACATGCCTTTGACCAGGAATCGAACCAACACCCTTCAGAGGACTGATGCTCTTCCATTGAGCCAAACCATCTAGGGCTGAAGTTGATTTTATCTGGCATGCTGCTTATATGATAATAAATTTGAAATAAGACAGTAATATTGTGGAATAATAATATATTTTCTCTGTTGAGTTATTCAATAATGGGAACTACTATTCTGAAATATACAGCATTTGCCAAATCTCAACATTGCTTAATTTTAATCTAATAACATCAAACACACTTTTTATTCTTTTTAAAAAAATCACTATGACAATTTTTTGCTTCAATTCTTAGCCATGTCAGTTTTACATCTTTACAGTAACTTTCTAATGCAATTCTAATTTTCAATTTATGTTGCTCTTAAAGGAAATGAAGTTCTCAGAATTGACCTAAATTTTCTAAATTTGTCTGGCCTATGACCAATACAAGATGAGACCAAATGGGTAGGGTACAGATTTGTTGAATACACTGTTTCTTTATCCACCTCAGAAAAGATCTGCTACAGATGTGGATGAGGGATGCCAAATCTTAGCCAGGAATAATGTATGAGTACTTATCCCAAGTGTCAACTGCTCAAGAAATCAACATTTTGCAATAAAATATTAAGATGTTGTATTTCTTTACTCAGATCTCTCCATGGTCAAGTCAGTTCCTTTTAGAAAACCCTCTAGGGCTCACATTATCTCCTAATTAAATCTGCTTTTTTATTCTGTCTTTTAACTTTAATATTTTGTGTCATATTTTTATTTTTCCATTGATTTTCTTTGCCGGCATCCGCATTCTATAATTCACTTCCACTTTTCCAAATTATTTCCAAATTTGGAAAAGTGCTCTACATTAGTTACTTTATAATTTAATATATTGCTTAAACTTAACTTGAAACATAGAAGACTAGTAAGCTATGCTTAATATAAAACAAACTTTAACCCTGTAACTTTTCTAACATTATTTACCCAGGCAAAGCAAATTTAAAAATATAAAAAGTAAATATATTAAAGCAAATGTAATTTGTTTCTAAGATATCAGCTTTTGAAATTTCAGATTCACTTCTTGCCTAACTTTGTTTTATAAATGCAGCCACTATCTATTTTTATTCCTTAAAATGACATATGATATCATGTAAAAGAGAATTTTGTTTTGTTCTTTCTGATGTAGGTGAAAATCTGTATAAGTATAGATATGAACACACAGAACATATTATGGCTTTGAATTCTACCTTTAATTTTAGAAACATTCTTCCAACACAAATGGCACTGCTTTCTTCAAAAGGCCTTTATTATACTAAACTTAAAGTAACATATTATATAATTCTAATTACTATTAGAACACATTTATGGTTTATGAAATGCTAGAGTTTCTTTTAAAGTATTCACAATAATCATTTAATTCTCACAGCCCTACATAATATATTGCAATCTAAAGCATCTAATTGTAAAAGGAAACAAAGAGAAATTTATTTTAGTCCTACACTATCATTGGGAAGATGAGAAAACTGAGGTCTAAGGATGCTAAATGTTTTTGCTCAAGGTCACCCAGCTGCTAGTAGAAGAGGAGCTACTAGATCATTAAGTCTGCTTCTTTTTTTCATAGGCCAGGCTGTGTTTCTTTGAATTAAAAAAAAAAAAAAAAGATCTGATTTTAGTTAAAGGCAATTATCTGAAATTGACTTATGATGCTTTGTCAACTAGAATTATGGAATTTGCCATGTGTAAAGGATAAAAATGTAATTCTATGGTTTAATAGAATTTTCTTTACTTAATGTTTCTCTTGGGCTTTATGTTTCTTTAAAGGATTCTATAAAATTTTTTTTCAAGTAATGGAATATATTCAGTGGCAGGAAGCAAAAATAGGGAGAATAATAGATTTACAATTTAAACAAAAGGGCATGTTACCTGATTTATTGTTCCTTGGTATCTTGAGTGATAAAAAAATTTCTTCAAACAATTCTTGAACATTTTTTTCCAGCTTCAAAAAGGATTTTATGAGCTGTGATAAGAATTCAAGTTCATCTAAGGAAATAAAAAAATTTTGTCCTTTCTCTGGGCATTCAGAAGTAACTGTGAAAAGAGAAGATCAACACTATAGTACATTGTATTTTTTTAAAGTAAATACTATAATAATCTATGTGATTACATAAACAATCAAAACTAATTATCAATATATCTTCAATAAATAAACCAAGTTTGCTTTTTAAGAAATATATATATACACTTCTAGGAGAGTCTTCTCTTCTGGGAAGCTGGAGATAAGTATTCTCTTTAATACAAATATGACAAATAATTGTATTTATTCTCAGAGCTATAAACAGAAATGTGATTTGTTATTGTAAAATCATATCTTATAAAATTTTATTTTTTTAAAAGTCTGGTACAACTTTAATATAGTCACAAGGAAACTTAAGACAAATCCAAGTTAATGGACATTCTACAAAATAGCTAATCTAAACTCTTCAAAAGTATTATGTCCAGAAACAAAGACTAGGTTTTGATTAGACATGTGATCTAGTCAAAGTAGTCTAAAACGACATGACAATTGAAATTAATACATAATCAGGCCCTGGCTGGGAGCTCAGTTGGCTAGAATGTTGTCCTGCTACACCAAGGTTGGGTATCCATCCCCAATCAGGCACATACATGAAGCAAACAATAAATGCATAAATAAGTGGAACAACAAGTCCATGTTTCTCTCTCTCAAATCAATAAAAAAGGTAATACTAGTACATGTTAGTATTTTATTTTATTATAAAGGACTTTATTGGGGTAAATTGGTGAAATATGAGTAATGTCAACAATTCAATGCTATTATTGCATGACTGTTAATTTTCTAATTTAGACAACTATAATGTGGTTATGAAAGAGAATACCCTTTTGTTTAAGACATATTCATTAAAGTATATGAAGGCAAATGTCTGTAGCCTATTCTCAGTTCATAGAACAATAATAGTTTTAAGAGAAAGAGAATGCAAATGTGAAAATGTGGCAAAAAGTAACATTTAAGGAATCTGTATTTTTTCGTAGTCTGAAATTAAAACAATTATTTTTTAAAGACTAGATAAAATACATAAGTCTTCAAGATTTTAGAAGTGTCATTACTCTATCACCAGCAACAAGCAAATTAACTTAGTAGTTGAGGCTAGACTATATAATTCATGAAATCATGTTTTCAAAAATAACCTGTATAAATAATTATAATATATATTGCTTTCTAAAGAACAATACACCTTAAAATAAACAAAATTGATTATTTTACTTTTATAACTATGCTACTTTCAAGTCACACTACAAATTTAATATTAGTATTTTACTAAAAATATCTTAAACTTTTTAAGAATATGGAGTCTAAGATTGATCTCACCAAATGGCACCTGGGACCAAGTTTTCAAGTATTTACAGAATCCTTTATTATTGCCATTTTTAAAAAAAAACCCGCTTAATTACAAACTGAAAATGTTGAGTACTACTATAAAATAAGCATCAAGTCCCTTTGGAGAAAAAAAAAATAAGAGTGTTACTTAGAAATTATGTAAGTTCTGGTGATTCCATGTAAAAATTGGTTATCTTGATCATATGGATTTAGAAGGAAGATTCCAATAATGTAGCAATTTTATGGATAACTCATAACCTTTAAAATTTTTATAACAAACTTATAACCATAAACACCTTGGATTTCCTAAAATAAAACAAAAATTAAGGGAAAACTGCTCAGGATTATGCTCTTATAAAATTTCACCATGAAAAAAATATGCACAGATATTCATTGAAACTATTTTCTTATATAAATACATAAAAGTGAGGGGGAGAAAGAGAGAGGAAAGAGAGAGAGGGAGGGAAAAAGGAAAAGAGAGGGAGGGAGGGAGGGAGGAAGGGAGGGAGGGAGAGAGAGAGAGAGAGAGAGAGAGAAAATGTTATATCACATAGAGAATATAAACCAAAAAATATGATATAAACTAAAGAATATGTACTTAGAGGTATTTTTCACCTACTGGCTAATAGTTAAAATATTAACTCCATTCTCTTATAGAAAAAGTAAGGACTTTGAAAATAAATCTAGAAGGGTATTAGGGCTCCTCACAACAAAGCAGCATTTGGAATAATTATCAAAGTCCAGCTAAATCAGACAAACCATAAAAATAGAGGCAGTAGCCTCATATTATTTTTCAAAACCATTAGCAACAGAATTCTTGTTAATAATAGCATTAAGATACAGGAGAAAATGAGAAGCTAGAAAATCAGATAAACTGAAGCTGGTGGATCAGTATAAAAGGTGCACATTTTTGTTTTCCCAAGAAAAATGAACACTAGCCACCCTATTATTGAATGTGAAAGGATCTATTTCCAGTAAGGAAGTATTCTTGGTGCCACCAGACAAGTGATGTGAAAGAGAGGTGACACACAAAAGGTACTGAGAGTCTCATTATTTCAGATGAAATTCATGACATAACCCAAATGGAATATATTTGTTCCAGAGGGACCACATAGGAACAAAAAATAAGTAACATTTTTTTGCCAGCACCCAAGTCACTTCCTGAGAGGTGGGACCTGGGAGCACACTAGCTTTGCAGTGGCCTGAAGGAGCACTGTGCCTTCCTAAGCACCTGCCTCGGGCCCAGGTAGCAGGGGAAGGAACACATACAAGCACCATGAAAAAACAAACACCAAGAAGAAATGGAAGCTGTTTCTTTCCTCTTTTCTCCAGCATTATTTTAATAACTTATTTTTCAAATTTAAATGACTAGGAAAGCATCTGAGGTAAAACTAAGATAAGAAATAGCCTTGACCGGTTTGGCTCGGTGGATAGAGTGTTGGCCTGCGGACTGAAGGGTCCTGGGTTTCATTCCAGTCAGGGGCATGTACTTTCGTTGCTGGCATATCCCCAGTAGGGGGTGTGCAGGAGGCAGCTGGTCTCATCGATGTTTCTAGCTTTCTATCCCTCTCCCTTCCTCTCTGTAAAAAAACCAATAAAATAAAATAAAAAGAAATAGTTCCCCCTTAGTTTTAAAAACTGAATTGTTTTTTTATCTCTTTTGAGGAAGCTTCCATATGTACCACTCAAAACAGTCAGGGTAAAAATGTTAGAGAAGCTGAGTAAATAAATGAGTGAATAAATGATTAAAAGGATGAAGTTGTTACCTTTGACGTTAAGTGAAAATGCAACCCAACACGTGATGAAGATATGGAAATTTAGATTCCTCACGGATGTCAGAACACCTCTTCTGGCTGGGTGGTGAGAGGTTAGAGAGGGGATTTCAGGGGAAGCTGAGCCTCCTAACAGTTAATGAATCTGAATTTGAAGTCAGAAAACAGTTAACTTCCTTCGCCCCCTCCATGTTTTATTAGGTGGCATGCTGCTATTTATAATACCACTACCTGAGGCACAGGTGGTCTTAGAGTAGAGGGGTTAGCCTACAGAATTAGGAGCCAGATGGCCTGGCCTATGGTCCTGGCACCGTTCCCTTCTAGCTGTGTGACTTTGGACATTTACTTGGTCTCTCTGTGCCTCAATAGTGTCTGAAGTTTATCTTATAGCAGTAACTGAGGGGAGTCACTTCCTCTATGAAGACTGCCTCGGATCCCAGACCAGCTCACTTTCCTATTCTCCATGCTTCTGCATTTAGCTCCATGTCACATTCTAACTGACAGTTTAGGAGATGTCTCCAGAAACTTTAATCCCATGAAAGACAGAGATCTTTCCCCCCATGATTGCATTCCCACTATTCATCAGAGTGTCCACATGAATGAATGATTTAAAAAGGATACATATTGCTGAGTGTCAGAGACAAAACTAACTGCTTTTTTACTCATTTGGTTTGGCTCTGTCTTCCTGCCATTAACATGTTTCTTTAGTAAAATACTAATATTAAAGGAGTTGAACATTAATTACTGTATGTCAATTTGAATAGGAAATATTTTGGGAAGAAAGGACAATAAACATCATATCAGAGATCTGTTTCATTATTAACTACTTTAAGTACTGCTGCTCTATAATGGAATCCATCTCTAAGCTTAAACATTTATAAAGTTGAATGGTAGTCTCACTCCAAGACCTTCCACTGCTTATTTTATGTGTAACCCTTTAAAAATTGGGTATTTTTGAGTGTGTGTGTGTGTGTGTGTGTGTGTGTGTGCGCGCGCGAGCCTCATCTTTTTTGAGAATCTAATACAACCTATACATTTATGGTCATAAAAACAGTACTTTGCATATAATTCTGGAGGTTCCCAGATCCTCTGAGGCCTGAGAGATTGATTGATCACCTGGTGGAGGATCTCTTCCTTGGTCTGTCTGACTTTATAAGAAACAGCACCCTTTGCACTTCCTCCCACTAAGGAGACATACCTCCTAAAAACTCCTACTTCCCTTTGCAAGAAGAATAGGTCCTAACCAGCTTCTACTTAATCTCATTACTCTTCCCAAGTGATAAAATAAAAGATCTCAAAACATTAGCACAGACAACTAACTCTCTTGCTAACTATGGCCTAGTCCCTGCTTAAGGTGAAGGGATAAAATGAGGAGAAATAGCCCAGCCAGCATGGCTCAGTGGTTGAGCATTGACCTATGAGCCGGGAAGTCACAATTCGATTCCCAGTCAAGGGCACATGCCCAAGTTGTGGGCTCAATCCTCAGTGTGGGGCATGCAGGAGGCAGCCAATCAATGATTCTCTCTCATCATTGTTGCTCCTATCTCTCTCTCTCTCCCTCTCCATTCCTCTCTGAAAGCAATAAAATATATATATATATTAAAAATGAAGAATAACTAATGCTCCACCCTTTCAGGAACTTAAACACAGAGATTACTACTATAATAAATGACCACTGTTTTGAGAGTGGTATATGAATACCAAAACATTCTATTCAAAAAGAATGAATTGCTAGTATATATTATATCTGCATTTTCTGTAACTTCTTTCTCTGATTGGTCTAGGCCAGTGGTCGGCAAACCGCAGCTCACGAGCCATATGCAGCTCTTTGGCCCCTTTAGTGTGGCTCTTCCACAAAATACCAAGTCTGGGTGCACATGTACAGTGCGATTGAAACTGTGGCCAGTACAGAAGTCGGTTTT